CCTTCAAGCTTTTAAGACCCCAGACGCTATATCTTTTGATAGCTGGGCACCATCAGCTTTCTTCACCACATTTGCTTATTCACCCGCTTTGTCTTCAGTTGTTGTGTCAGGAAGGTGAGCATTATAGAACCACACCTGGTTCTTAGTGGTAGTGAAGTCCCTGCTGTTCACCCCTGGGGCAGCTCATTATAAGCCTCATATTAAAATTTGTTTGATTTTCTCTACTTTTTTGGGGTCTTCTTTCAGATGGTAGAGAAAAATAATATGCTCTTAAACTCTTCATAGATTGCGAATTCTCTTCCTTCTGTTTTATCTTTTCTAATACTGTGTTTTTGTTACAGAAAACATTTTTCTTCAAAAATGGACAGAGTGTGTTCAGAGACTAATGAAGAAAAGTAAGTTCATTCAACATAGCTAAAAATGGTATATACTGGTATATTCTTTATCAGATAGAGATAATTTTCCAACTACCAAGACCTCTCCATAACTTCTGAAATCATTCCATTCTATTGGCTTTTCAGCTTCTTTTAAAAAATATCAAACATTTCCCAGCTTCTTTCAAAATAGCAAACATGGCAGCACTGGGCTCATATTCTTGCTTGGCAAGAATTAACTGGAGTGGATTGTGTGACCCTTAGACCAGGCAGAAACCCTCCATATCATTATAATCTCACACTCCCTATTGTTTTATATCTGCCAAATTATCTCTTTGACCTTCTATAGGTACTCTAATTTCCAAAACCTGGTCTGAAAATCACACAGCAGTAAAGCCAGAGCATGAGTCTCTTGATTTATAGCCTATTGACAGTTGACCCTTGAGCAACTCAGGGGTTAGTGCCATAGTTCTCTACACAGTTGAAAATCCATGTATAATTCGCCTCTCACTTGGAGATGATAAGTGTCACATGGTGTGTTTTTTTAATCATTTTATTAGGGGCTCATACAGCTCTTATCACAATCCATTCATGCATCAATTGTGTAAAGCGCATTTGTATGTTCATTGCCCTCATCATTCCCAAAACATTTCCTCTCCACTTAAGCCCCCGGCATTAGGTCCTCATTTTTTCCCTCCCTCCCCGCTCCCTCCCCTCTCCCTCATGAGTCCTTGTTAATTAATAAATTAGTATTTTGTCATATCTTGCCCTGTCCAATGTCTCCCTTCACCCACTTTTCTGTTGTCCGTCCCCCAGGGAGGAGGTCACATATAGTTCCTTCCAATTGGTTCCCTCTTTCCAACCCATTCTCCCTCTACCCTCCCAGTATCATCACTCACACCACTGGTCCTATAGGGCTCATCCACCTTGGATTCCCTGTATTT